AAATAATTACATTTTCACAGAGAAAGAGATGACAGAATTGTTAAATTCCTTTCATTTCCTTAGAACAGTTCGACGTGAAAATGCTTCGTAGAACGTTTTCTACGAAGCAACAACGACAGAATAGCTATTAAAGACAATTCATTCGGCCTTCCAACTCACGCCATCGTCCCTATTGCCTCGTTAACTTCCATTCTTCGTTCAATGCACAGCCTCCCTCTGTGTCTGATGGACATTTAGTGCCATGTAATTACGCGAAACGCGCGACAACGCTACGTTACGTAAGTACGTTCCACCAGATGAGACGACGCGTGCAACGCAAGGTGGCAAGCAACTTATCGAAGTTACGCGAAGCAATAAATCGAACCTTTCATGGAAATTAATCTTCCACATCTACCTGTGAATTTCTCAAGGATTAAAACGGAAAGTCTCGCCCGCCTTCGCCGATAACGAGTCAGTTCCGCTCTTATCTCTCGAAATAAGCTCGAATAAAGCTCGAAAAACTTTCCAGATGATTTTTATTTGATGCTGAATCCCCTTCGTGGAAATTTGTTTTGCTCCAGGATATATGCACCGATGTCAAAGCGCAAAGACATGCAACCACGGGACTTTCCTCCGGACTTAATTAAATACTTCGGATACCAACTATCGTCGCAATATTTCTTATCTCGAACGAGTCAATCATATTGGGAACGATGCGCTTGAATTCCGCCTTCGTCTTATCTTTTTCTCTCTTCTGTCCCAACTGCCCTTTCTCAAAGAATTTATATGAAAAACGATTGATTGAATCCGGTCGGTTATTATACTTTCAGTTTTTATTTAGTTATTTCAGTTTCCATAACAATCCAGGAACTCGAGAATATACTATTTATTAAGATGGATAAATAACAGACAGAAATATATTTAATAAGCTAAAGATTATGAATTGTACATATTTGTATATATTTTGCTATAAAGTATCGCGTGTAAAAGAATGTAGACTTCTCATAAAACTGACAATATTTCTCTTCTATCCAATATTTGCGTATGATGCACAAACGGAAATTGTATTTGCTAATTTTATAACGCAACGATGTACTTTTTCGAATTTAATATTCGTTACATTTTTAATAATGTTGCAACTCGATTATTTAAGATTTCTTGTTATTATTTTGTATTAATAATCAGAGTTGAAATTTTAATCATACTTTGAATCTCTTTCAATCTCAATTAAATCTTATAACTCTATTTTGATATTTGTACAATCAAACAGGGCTTCTTTTAATATTACTTAATCTAGCTTCTATTTAGAAAATTCTTTTGAATCTAAAAATAGGAAATCTTATAACTGCCATTTACAGACTCAACATAGAAGCTCAATTCATTAGATTAGAACTTATTATAAATCTTTAGAGTCTACATATGTCATTTTTAGAGTCTACATACGACTTAAAATTAAGGTTCAAAGAAGCAGAAAAATTTCGACTCGGTACTTTTGAAAAGTAACTCGATATTGTTGCTCGTTATTTATTATAAAAAAGTAACTCAATAATTATAATTCATTATCGATCAGAGAAAGTAATTTATTAACATTATCTTTACTCAAAAACTTATTCGTTACTGAGTCGTTACAATTTCTGTTATATATTTTTTCGTCGAATTTTGATCTTTCTTTATTCAACATGAGATTCATAATAGTTATGAATAATCATAACATGATCTAACGTAACACTCCTTTTTTTTGAAAATTTTTTTTGAAACTCGCACTCTATATGTATGTGTTATACGTGTATAAAATAACGATAAAAGTAACGGTTTCGATATCGCTACTCAAAAAATGTAACTGCGATAGCTTCGTTTTATTGATAACAGTATCAACTATTTATTAAAATTTAGTAATAAAACTAATTTTTTGTTAATAATAACATTATTAGTGTCAATAATAATGAATGTATGCAATTGTTACTAAAAAGAGTAACTCTACACAATAAAACTTATGTTGTAATTGTATTAAAATCAATCCACTCAAGTCCTTGAAATTTTGTGTTAAATGTTTGAGCATACATATTGTATTGAATATAATTTGAATAGACATATTCGAATGTTAATTTAACCTAATGTGATTTTATGTTATTTGAATATTTTGAATTAGATTGACATTCAACAATTATTAGTATTCAAATAATATAATTTATGAATAAGTAAATAACATAAAATATTATATTTTAAAATGTAAATTCTAAGATAAATAAATAAAATACGTTAATTTAACATATCATAAATGTGAATTTTACTGAAAAAATATGCTTCTACAATATGCTTACAAATTATGTCAGTGTTACATTTTTTATATTAATTTTTTTGTACAATATTTATGTTAACATATTGATCTTATATTAAATTAATTGACAACAATTTGAGTAGACCGTTTGGAGGACATGTGAGATGTATTGAATTTAAATGTTCCAATGACGTTACGGTAACGACATTGTAAGTAATGCGTTACTTCAACCTTGTTATAATACTTGATATGCAGTATGCTAGATGAAAATATATATACTTATTCTCATTCTAACTCTGAGACACAGATCACAACGCGCTTTGTCTTTAATAGTATTAATTAGATTGAATCTCATCTTGACGTTTATATCGATTGTTAAGCAAAATTTGCCAGAGAACATTCGCGGTAATTGTTAGTAAATGAGGTAATTCAAATTATTAAAACATTCATTTATAGGTTCATTTGAAATCAAGTTCACAGCAAATCGAGTTACAAATGTAATTAGTCGAAATCTTGTTGTAAAAAGATATAAATATACTTTGTTATCTTTATTTTCTCACAGAATAGGTATAACAGATATCTCTTTCATCGATGCAATTTTTAATCATTTCATTTAATAAATAGTATATCATAATCAAATTTTTATAATAAAATTACCCAGTACATGATTTTTAAAGTGACAATGAAATAGAGAACGATACCGAATGCTTTGATAGTACAAATATAAAAATATATACAGCGAAATGTTTTTGTATACTTCAAATGAAAAAATATTAGTGCAAAAATATTAAAATTAATCCAAACATTTAAATTCATCAAATAATACAAAATAAACTCGTAAAAATAATTTTTATTAAAAAAATATATATACTTATTTTTATTCTATATAATTCGCTATATTTTTAAAAACATATTTTATCAGTCCTGGCGTGCATTGATAAAAGTGCACTCAAAAAATTAAATACGTTGCATTAAGCCAAGCAAAAAAAATTCGAATTGAATAGAATTATTTATAAATACGTTACGTGACTTGTTTTAACATTACTACTTTAGCATATCTACTTTTTTGCAAAAAGTACTTTTCAACTGTATTTTTTGTCTAAATTTAGATTTGAAATTGCTGATAAAAACTATACTTTGTCCACATTGATCAAGTGTCTCTTGGGAAGACTATCATGAATTGAGAGAGGTTCGAAGGGCTACTATTCTTCCTTTATTGACCTATTCTATTCTGAACTATGATATATGAAACGTTTCATTTGAGATGCAACAGTAGAAGGTCGAAATTATCAGGAGCAATTATTCACTGCGAAAGCACAGCTATATAAACCTGCCAGGGCTTGTAATTGTCAATTAGACCGACCGTCAAGATTTTATCGATTCCTCAATAATCCTCCGTATTTGGTAGTTACTAGTGAAACATGGTTGAACGGATTCTCCGGAAAATGATCGTATTTTGGGGGAGAAAAGATAACTCTGCTAACAATAAGTCCCCCTGTGGATTTACGATCTACTAAAATAAATAACAAAAGTTAATTAAGAAAATCATGAGTTTACAAACTATTTAGAAAAGAGTACCTTCTTTCTCAGTCATGAAGTAAATATTTGAGACTAATTGAAATTGTGGAGCAAAATAAAATAAAATAATTCAAACATAAAATTTTATTAATTCCTAAAGTATACCTAAAAATTTAGATACAAATCTGAAAATAATTTTGTTAAATTATCAAAATAATTGTGTAAGAAATTCGAATATGCTGAGCAATGCTGCAAACATTTAATTATTTTAAGAACAAATTTAAAAGTCCTACATAATTACTTTGAGGTCCAAAAAAAGTCTATTCAAATTTGTGTGTAATTAAATTTTTAGATACTGAAGTATCTAAAACCTTTTTTTCTATGTATTTTTGTTAGCATCAATCTATTTTTAATACATTCACATCTCTCGCATTCCGTGATTATGAAAACAAATAACATCACGCAAGCTAATTGTCTAACCAAACGTATTTATATAATTGCTGCAATAATATTCAGAGGCGGTAAACTGTTCCATCAACATTATATATTTAAATAAACTCGCTTGCCTGGTACTTGCTAAATTCTATCCATTTAGTTTGTGCCATGTGAAATAATATAAACAATTCCATTCGATAATTATTGCATAAAGGAAGTTCATAGCAATCTACACGATTTTTTCCGCAGCCAATAAATACAATCTAATGATTTTATTCTTAACGGGTTTATTCTTAAATGAACAGCTTGTCTCTGGATAATTCTAAGAGAAATTATTTTCATATAGATTCAATTACGATCAATTGCCGCAATAATATCACATTAAAAAATTCATAAACCAGCTGACATAAATAATTAGCTCTAGGATAAGTTCCCGAGATAATCGATCTCTTACCAAAGTTTCACGATACACATCTAGTAACATGAACTATGTATATAAGTTATGATTATATATCTCAAGGGTTCCTGCCCTAAGGTATTATACGAGGTATCGTATAAATATCCATCACCCATCATTACCGTCATCCCAAACTTATTCCCGAGCCAATTAAGGAAGTAATGTCAACCCACAGGCGATAAAGTTTCAAACACCCTGCGGAGGAGTTACGCTTATCTCCTCGCGTAAGTCCGCGATGTCGCGGGATATTCAAAAGCTACGCGATCAAGATGGGATTGAGATAATCGGTAAACACGACGTGGCCGGCGAGTAAATTAGCGAGACCTCACCTACCGTAGAATTGTCGGTCACGGGGCGCTGTTGACTCCAAGGGTTTGTTAACACGGCCGCATTCACGGTCCGACTGCAATCCACTCGCTGACACACCACCCCGTGACGTACTACCACTACTGCCTACTGCTCCTCGTCGACCCTCGCTGGTTGCACACGCACCGCTTCGCGATGTCGATTCCCCGGTGTAACGACCCCGCGATTTCCCCGCTGCACCTATACACGGCAGTTACCCTTATTACACGTCGCTCTTATATTCGAGTATACGATCGCTTCATCTCGATCATTCCGCACGATTCAACCGCTTTAGAATGTAGCCGGAGCTCTCTTCGGGATCGCGCGATCGATCGCGACGCAAGATGTCGAAGATCTTGGAGTAAGAGGTATTAAATGAGCATCGATAGATCTTTGCGATCGCGACGATCTTATCAAGTTTAGGACGACGAGGAACAAATCCAGCCGCGACGGTGGTCAGAGCGACACTACGAGCCTCGCGAAAGACCCGGCGCCCCCTCTCACCATCGACCCGGGGTTTGCCCGACCAATCGACGCGTGCACCTTCCTATCGTTTAAGTACATTCCGCTAGATCCGGGCAAGTGACGAGGGGTGGCTCAACTCGCACCGGGGGTGGTGGACCGTGGAACGAACGTCGGAGACGGCGACGGTGGCGGAGGAGTCGTTTCACGTGTTGCTTCGGCGTAAACACTGACAGATAATTTAATGATGCCAGCCAGCGGACCGTACGACGTACCTCGGAGAAAAATTGATTGAGTAATCGACGAAGCGAAGCTATCTCGCAAAGTCGACTGACTCTCGGTTACAGCTTGAAAAAAGTCGAAGCAATGCTTCTGTTATTTCAACGTTAACTTTTTCTAGTCTTGGCGATATGACGCATGTATCTTGAATTGAAAGTTTTTAATTATGCAGAAATATATGAAATTTCTATGCAAACTTATTTCAGCTCTATTTTTAAAACGCAAATTGTTTCAAGTTAAAAAGTCGACTCGGCGAAGTTGAGCACCGTCATATAGAGATATCTTTTACGTTATGTAATACGATGTTCTGTAATGCGCTATTTTCCCGATACACGTTACATTATTATGTAGTAAGCGGATAATATTGTAATGGTGTTATTGTGTAATACGATACTCTTCTGCCACATGTTACGATAATAAGCTCGAGTTAAAATGCTCGAAAAATAAACGGCAGCAAGGTGAAGAAAAGTTTTATTATCACCTTGAAAATTTATCATCATGTAAGAAGCGACATGCTTACTCAAGAATAATATTTTAAAATGTCAGTTCTTGTTCAAACGTTCTATCATTTTACTTAAACTGTTGTTTAGCTTGGACAATTGTTACATTCATTACTATAGCTCGAGTATTTTGTTGATTCTATTAATTAAGTTTTACAAAATATTAATTAAATCAACGAGAAGCTCGAGTTTAACAATGAATAATCGCCAAGAAATACAACAATTTATAATAAGCTGCATATCTATGTAATTTTATTCAGAAATTTACAAGTACGTCTATAAATTTTAAATTAAGATAATTTAATTATTTTTACTTATGTATATAAGAATTCGAAAATTATTTAAAATATTTATTTATTTAAAAAAGACAGAAAAAAGACGTTAAGTCGAGAACATTTACAGTCCTTTGATAAAAAATATATTTTAAGCGTGGTTTACAATTACCTTTGATAAAAATATATTTTAAATTTTAAATGAAAATCGAAGACGTTTAGAAAAATAATGATAAAAAGTCTGAGTTTCCACACACAGCCACTTATCAGCTCTTATTATTCGAAAATTTAAAAGAAATTATTTCAAATATAATATAAAAAATAAAATTTTTTTCTTTTTTACTCTGTTCATTTTAAGTTCCTCTCCTTTTTTAAATCAGATATTTTATATAAAATATTTTGACAGACATTTTGATGACATTTTTCATGTCGACTTATAGGAAAAACGACAGTTCGAAGGTGCAACCGCACGTGGAATAGAAAATGAAGAAAAGGAACGTTTCAGAAATTGAAGATCGTGGGCGATGAAAGATGTGAGAATCTTTATACATTTTACTGACGCGAAATATATTATCGTCAATTTTCAAAATGCAACTGCATGCAGTAGCTCTGAATAAGACACGGTATTAAATTTTCGATCGAAGATCATAGATGATGAAAAATTAATGAAATTATCGGAACGAGCTTGCGGTGATTTATTTTTATATTGTACAAAGCTTTGCATATTTATACCTATATGACATGAAATTTTATTCTATAGTGATTCAATGAAAGTGGAAGAAAGATGGAAAACAAATCTAACGCTAAAAATTCTTATTTAATGTAACAGGAATAATGTTTATTATTTTTTTATTTTTCAGATGTGTGACAGATAATAAAAAGCGATGGATTCTTACATGACGTTGAATTTATACCTGCAGGCAAAGTTATAGATTGAAAGAGAAGTCGTAGAGACCAAGTGCAAAGAGCTCGTTGCTTATTTACACAACTCTCTAAAGCGACCCGACAAGTGCTTTCGCCGTAGCGACGGAATTACGTGTATATACGCGATATTTGTCGCTGACAATGTAGCGCGTGGAGGCAATCGAAACTTTATGCGATTGTTAAACGACGACGGCACGGCTGCATCGAGTAGAAGCAATCCAGCTGCAAACGGAGCGCTTAAAAGGGGAAACGATATCGTTCGCTAGGTAGATTTGCAAGGCTTGAGCGTATTATGAGTCTGAGATCCTTGACTCCCGCGAGATATAATCATTTATTGCATCTCATCGCGATTATCTCTAACGCGCATTATAAGACAACGATTTTCAGCAGCTTTACTCGAAGAGGTTTCTAATGACTTGTATATGATATTACACGATATTATACAATAAACACTTAAAAGAAACACGCAGAATTAGATGTTTTTCTTCCCGTACATTGAAAATTAAGAGATTACTCAACACGAATTTTCTTATTGAGCTAAATAACATAAACCTCATAAATATGTAATGATATCTTCGAGGGATTTTATCTCGAGAAGAGCTGTGTACCTTCACAGATCTAATTTTCATAATATTTAATATTGAACATTCCAAAATCGTGTTACCATTCATAATCAGACTACCATTTTTCTTCAATTTTTCTAAAAAATATGAAATATGCTGTTAAGGGCGGCACGTAGGCGGAATATCATATTTCTCCTTAATTTAACAGATGACAAGGCTAAAACGCGTACGTGTAAAATCATGTTGTAAACAATTTTTTCATCCGAAAATTATATTCGCCCTGCGAGACGGCTCATAAAATAATATTAAAGCTACTTATTACCCGACATTTCTCTTCCACGTCGCGACGCTACCGAGACGCAGATTTCTTACGCGTCGCGCGAATGACGTGGCGAATGCTGGTTGGAAAAGTTATAGGCCCCCCCTTGTGCAATTTATATCTCGGAGATAATTCTCCTAATATATATATATATATATATATATATATATACAAAAATACATCCGCGAATGCTTGTTTATGGAACCATTGACCGGATGCGCGTCATCCTGGAGCTGACTTTCCACGTGAAATATTTCTTCCCTCGTGAGTTCGATTTCGACAGATTTCGTTATTTATTTCTTATTTTTACTTCGCACGAGGGGCAGATCGATAACGATAGAATAACGTGACGAAATGGATTATATATTCTCTATAGTGCGAAACCCGGTGACGTTAAACTCCTGCGCTCTTCTATGTCGACTGCATGCGAAGGGGTGTCACCGGTATTTGTAAATCGTTGTTGACATCCTCTGTGCAAATATCGAAATTTGATATTTTCGGAGATGACGGATACAATTCGTGTATTCGCCGCATAAATCGGTATCGCATTATACACGCCATTTGACTTATATGTCTGTGTGATTTGACTCTCTGAAAAGAATATCTTTACAATTTATAAATGTAATTTGTATTTAAACGGTAATCTAGATAATAGCTTCAGAGAGTTTTAGCGAACAAAAGCCTTCTTTCAATATCTATTGCAGATATTTCTGAAAAGAAATAATTCTAAAGGAGGTAATATTATGAATATGCGACTCAATATAAATAATCGCTTTATTATTTATTAAATAGACAACGGCATTTATTTACAAATGTATGTAACAGAAGCTGAATGTCGATAAAATAATAAGAGATTTAAAAATTTTATATTTTAATTTTTATACCTACAGAATAAAATACGTTATTATCAGTGTTGGGAAAGTTACATAATAAGATACATAATAAATTACCTTTTATTATAAAAATTAAGTATAATAAGTTTGAATATTTTATTTTTTATATTATATTTTATCACATTTGCTCCAATTTTGTATTACCTTTTATACTCAATTTTTATAACAAACACATGCAAGGTAATCTGAAAAATAACTTTCCCAAATCTTGTTATTTTATAAAAAATAAGGCGCATTGAAATTGAGGCGTTCTAAAAATATCTCGATCAGTTTCTGTCCACTCTATACAATAGACGTACCAAGTCATTTCATATTTGCTTTCGCTTTAGTTTCTTTTTCCTTGAACATCGACTGAATACTTGCTGATATATCAAAAGAGGTTCATTCGCCGGTAAAAGTCATAACAGCCGCTGTCTGGGAAACCTGAAATCGATTCCCCTGCGGGTATTCACCCCTGCAATGTGCAGGTGCAATATAGACTGCGATGAATATACCGCTTGAAATTATTTTGAATGTTATATCTGAAAGAAAAAATTCTTTCTGCTTCTTTTAACGTTAATTTAACGTTTAACGGATAAAAATAGGTATGCTGAAATATTGACAGTTGTATATAGTTAATATTGACTCACGCCATTAAACTGCCATAAAAATTCAAGATATATTTTTCATAAACTCTTATAGAATACGCACTCATAAAGAGTTCTATAAAAAAGAATTTAATTTACGGACTAATATTCTGTATTAATTCGTTGCCTGTAAAGACAAAAGTTTAATACATTGTTTATTTCAAAGTTTTCCTATTCTGTAGATTACGTACAGTTATAAATACAAAAGACATATTGCAACATTATATAATGAAGTAAATCTTTGAAAGAACCGTTTGATAAAGAAGATTATAATAAGAAACTTAGTCGTTCGGAAACTTACAAATTACAATATACCGTTCGAAATATTTTTTCTTCTTTTCATCAAACATTACAGTAATAAATGATTAAGACGCATTAGGAGTAATTTTATAACGGAGTAAACGAAGTTGTTTTGATCAATCTACGTTGAAGGTAAACAAGATATCGTTATTAAAATTGGAGCTAATAATAAGTTAAAAATAATATACATACAATAAGCAG